TGTCCTCACAAACACACACAGCCATGTGTATGTCTGTTCGAGAGTGTGTGTGTGTTTGCCAGAATTTTAAGACAAAATTAATTTGGTGTTAATACAGTGAAAGTGTTTCCAACTTAAGGGCCAAGTTTACAGGCAATAGTTTTGTTGCTTGCAAAACTTTAAGATCTGAACTTAAAGTTCACACACTTTGAGTTTGGTTTTAAATATCACTTTGCATTGATTGGATATAGCTGCAGTTAATAAAGCATAACATTTATTTCAGATAATTTTGTCAAGTGCTAGTCTAGCTTCCTTAATGATGAATTTCGAGCTTTCCAAATTTAGGTTAGCTTTCGGACTTTCCAACTTACTTGAATATATGAGAATCTCATAGTGGAGTGATTTTGAAAAACATGTCATTGAAGATGTCCTTCAGGCTATCAAAAACAATAACGCATGAATCGAGGAAAGTCTGAGCCTCTTCATTTTTAAAAGTGGCATTATAATCATATCAATCACATTACCATTAATATGCTGAAACTATGAAAGGAGCTCGTATGCTATCTATTTATACTCCTTCCTGAGCTCGCTGTCCGTTCCCTTAGCTTAGGCTTAGGTTAAGAGTTGAAGCCGCAGTTGGAGAGTGGGACATGAATGGATGACAGAATCCAACACGGTGACTCTACTATGCTCTTAGAGTACTTACCTTTTAAGTCAGTGCTGTGTGTGAGCTCGGGTCAACTGCTTAGGCAAGAAACTTTTCCCACTTGGCCAAATTGTTCAAGTGGCCAAGGAGGGCAGTCGAAACTGGCAACTGGCAACTGGCCGCTGCCCAGGCATGCATTTGGCGATAGTTATCCACCCAACTGTTTCTCCCACTGACGCATGCCAGCAACACGGTTGCATACCTTGTGGAGTGCAGCCGGCAGCTAGTAGATGGTAGCTGGAAGCTGGCAGCTAGGCGTCAGGAGTCGGTAGTCGGGCGCTGGAAGCTTGGGCATCAAAGTTGCCAACTTTCAGCTTGAGGAATTTTCGACAAGGCGACTTGAAACTTTTGTTACTTTGCAGGTTGTGAAGATACCTAAACAAAAAACTCCAAAACAAGAACAGCAGCAATAAAAAACAAAAACACGTAAAAGTGCTCTAGACGGGCGTGCCCGTCCAGCAGATACCCTCAACTCAATGCCGAACTGAGTTCTGAACACTTGGGCAACCCTCTATGCACTGGTAGACAAAAAAGACAAAGATATAAGCTTCTGCTTCTGTCGAATTTGGTAACTATCGATATTAAGTTTTATGGATTCATGGAAACGGGGCAAGTTATTGATCGAAATTAAGTAAAACTGCGCGTTCTATTTGAGGATCTTCATTCAAAATGACGATTTTTGGTTCTTATAGTTCCCGAGATCGATGGATGGAAACACAGACATGGCCAGATGGAGTCGCCTACCGATGCTGACCATGAATAGATGGAACCTTCTGCTTGTTACATCCATTTGTACAAAACATTATACCCTTTTAACCCTAATTTTCAATGGGCTCAGGGTATAAAAAAGGACACCACGAAGCTGGGCACACAGCAAAGAGCTGTAGAAGAACAGCAGCAGGCGACGAGCTTGGATTTAATTGTTGTGTTGTGTGTGCTGCTCGCCGTTCTCGACTGCCATATAAATTTGCCAGGACTGGCAGAAGGACGCTCAGGTGTCCTTAGTGGTGTTCTAATTACTAACAAACTTAATTTGCTACAAGTTATTTTGCCAAACCCTCGAAATTTGCGCTGTGACTCACCGCATCCGCCCCTCCTCCTTAAAACAACGGCCCACTCGGCTGCATCTAGTGGCTCTCGCCTTAGCTGTAACTGGTGGCTCATTGCGTTCCACATTTTACTCCTAAAGGCTCTTCAGTCACACGCAAGGGACATACGACATTGGGTCCCTATAATGGTTGCTGGAATGGAGAAGAAGGCAATATCTGCTAGTTGGATGTACGACTGATGGATTTTATAAAACTAGCTATCGAATATGAAATTTTTTCCGTTGCATACGAATTGACCTACACATGTTAGGAGGCAATCCTTAAAGAAGAGTAAGAGTAAATCGTTTAGCCAATATTCTAAGAACTCATATAAGAGTCTCTATTCGATCTATCATTTCACTATGTAGAAATGTTAGACTTAACCTCAGCTGAGCGATTAACTAACAATTTGTCGGCAAGCTAAGACCCGCGTCCAGAAGAAGATAAGAATATGTGAGCCAAAATGTTTAAAAAAATTAAGTTTAAGCTCCTGATACTCATGATATCGAGTGTTTTAACAAATAATAATTTTATAGCAAGGAACAGGAAACTATAAGCCAGTCTTGAAACCATGAGCCAAACTTGACTGAAATTTAAAAATATGCTGAATTCAACTTTTTTTTTTATGTAATAATTAGAAAGTTACGCATTGATGAATATTGCATTAGGCTTGGATGTTAAAAAATTGCCTTGATCCTTCTGTGCAGATAACAAGCCTAGCTTGTTAGCTAGAAATACCTAAGTTAACATCAAAATAAGCTTTACTTGCACTTTAATTTAATTAAATTTAATATTTGCTAGATAATGTCAGCCAAGGGCGTGTCTGTGAAATATGTGAGAGCTGGCCGAGATGTAGCTGCAGCGACACCACATCAATGTCGTGGCCAGTACTTCATGGCCGTAGTCAAAGTCTGGGAACGAAACCATGACCAAGATGAAGTCCAAGATGGAGTCCAAGATGAACTCGAAGTCCAAGTCCAAGTCTGTGGCGCGGTCAGCTTTAAGCACCGTTAGACCGTTAGACCAACCGAAATGTTCATTGTAAATTATGCGCTTTGGTTTACAAATTGCATGTGCCGACCAGCACGAAGGATGTGGCAGGTCATTCGGCTGGCAGCGACAAGAGGACTTGAGTTGACTTGACTTGACTTGGACTTGAGCTGGCCTCCCCCAGTGCACCACTGCCCCCGCACCAACGCCACGTGTTGTGCTTTTATGTTGTTGTGTAACTAATGCGTGGTCAAAGTTGTTGCCATGTATTCAAATGAGCTGCGTCGCACAGGCTGCGGCTGCAACTTGTTTGGCAACTTCTTAGACATACTTTTCTTAGGGCCCCTCTCTCACTCTCACTCCCTCTCTCTCTCTCTCTCTCTCACTCTCGCTCGGCCGGACAGCAGCCTTGGCTGCCGCTGGAGTCACTGGCAAATATTTTATGCTTTACGTGGTCAGGCTACGGCAGCTTGAGAAATTACGTGGTGCTCCGCATGCAAGTGGAGTCCCCTCACCTAAAAATCCACCTCCACTCCTGCACACACTGTCTTCTTTTGTTGTTGGGGACTTGCATTTAGTATTTAACATGCGCTGCCTAAAAGTATGCAAAGTTATTTCTTGCAAACCTTTTTGCGTCCCTAACTAAATGCTGCGTCTAACTCGCAGCGCCCCAAAACTTGACTTTTTATCTGTGACGGCCAAAAAACCACCCTCTCCACCCACGCCCACACCCTCACCACCCGAACTCAAGTACTGTCCAGCAAAAGCTTTTGTGTACTTAGCTGAAAGCGCCGAAAAAAGTTGTAAAAATCGTGTAAAAAATTTGCGCAGAGAAAACGTGCAAGATGCGTTTAGTTCTACGTAGTTGCCACGCCCGATGCCGGACTTTCTCTAATAATTTATTTTAATGATAATGATAATGCATAGCAGCTATTTGGGGTCGCATAATGACCGACATCGTCTCAGGGCTTAACTAAGTGACTTGCTCTGTGTCACACTCGTGCGGCGGGATTGAGGGATTCGGGCTCGTTTTAAGGTGCGTGCCTCGCGCCTAAAACTTTGCTTAACCCACAAACTAGACCAATAACTAGTCGCTTCTCTTGCGCATAGCCTCCGAAATATATAAAGTGCCTGAGCACGCCTACTTAAGCGTTGCATGGGCCTGGTTGATGGATGGGCATGGGTCGGAAGGGTTGCTTGCAGCGCATCATTGTAAAACCCTTTCGGCGGCTACAAGACAAGTGCAAAGTTTTCGCCACAAAAACTTTTATAGAAGAATAAAACTTGTGCATTTTTCTACAAAACAAAGAAGAAACAAACCAGTAAAATAAGAAAAAAACCAAAAAAAAAAAAAAAAAAAAATACGAAATGAGGAAAGAAATGGGAATAAACACCATTGGTCTCAGTTTTTTCTCTTGCTGAATTCTTGTAGCTGCTGCTTAAAACAAAATGCAAATAAAAAAGTTTTACCCAGCGTTAGGGCGGTATTTTTTTTGTTTTCTGTTTTTTATTGTTTTGTGTTTTACTTTTTCAAGAACTACTTGGGCGTGGGTTGGACTAAAAGTGACCCATACGTCTTGGCCTAACCAATCTGAGCGCCACTAGCCAGTTGTTGTTGTGGTTTCTTTATGGAGTGCGACCTTTTTATGCTACGCAATCGTAGTTAGGCAGCGGGCACTCACATTTCACCCATAAGCTTGACTCCAGTGCCTAGTGCTCAGTAATGAAAATTGCCTTAATGCGTGCAGTGCTGTAAAACGATATATGTCTAAAGCGATTGTATTGATTGCCTTGACGAATTTTTCCTATTCTTGTCTTCATAGCATCCAAGATTTGTGGTCTCATAGTACCTATACATTAAATTAAAACATTCCGTATACGTTATTTGCTTTAAAGTATTTGAAATATTAAAAATACGGAAATTCGCCCTACTCTGCGAGCTCATGTAAGTACTACAGATTCCTGATGCTTTGGCTAAAAGTATTGTGTTTAAAAAGTGAATTTACTCAAATTGATTCCTTTGCATATTTTCCTTGAACCATTTGCGAACTAGCTCATGAACTTTATAAGCGTTATATATATATAAATCAAGACGAATTTTTCAGATAGAAGCCTGACATATATAATAAACATCATCAATATTATAACTAACAATGGCTTATGACCTCCATAGAATCCAATCTGCAAGAAATTTGCTTAATGATCAAATAACTCTGCGTTGTTAAGAATATAATATATGCATGTATTTAAAAAGTATATTAATATATGGTTTATGCGAGTATATATTTTTTGTTCTCATAGTAAGTATTATTCTTGGTAAGCTCAATAATATGCGGATATCACTTAAAATAAGTCTTAGATTAGATATGATGAGTACATTGTTGTGATTATATCTTTATTCCTGATGCTCTTTATAAGCACTAATAGTAACTACTTGCGCTTGATTACCTCCTGCTTTTGTTGTGGCACGCGCTCCCACAGGGTGCGAAAATGAGCATCCGTTTTGCGTGGGTTAAAGTTGGCGATGGTATCCTTTGAGTAGCTGAGCAGGTTTTGCGGCAGCTCTGCGGAGCTTTCATCACCATTGTCATCGTCATGGCTCGACATGGCTGACTCATCCACATCCATGAACTCCAAGGCATGCGTCTACAAAATCGGATTGGATTTGGTTATGGAAGCCATTGGTCAACTGCGGACACCAGCTGACTTACCTGGCGGCTAGCAAAGAGTGCCAGCAATAGCAGTGTGAGCAGCAGCGCTGCCAGCCGCGGGCGCAGCCATGTGCATTGGGAGGCCATAAACACAACAACAACAGCAGCAGCAACAACAACAATGCGCAATGAACAACAACAGAAACGCGCTAAAAAAAATTGGCTCACAACATTTTACGTTGACCAACGAAATGCGACTGGCCGCAACTCGTTGCGCGTCCAACTGTCGGCCCCCAATTGAAGTACACACACACATGGACTCTCATACATACACCTCCCGGGCACTCACAGCCCCTCCTAAGCTGCGCTCGCACCTGGCGTTTGCCTACACGTGCGCCGCATACCGAAAAGCTTGAGCTGACCCTAGCATTTGGTCTATTTATAGCTAAGCGCGTCATTTGCTACCCCCTTCCAGCGCCCGCCCTGCCGCTGGTCGAACTTAGCTTTTGCCAATACGGGCATATTTTAATAGGCCCCAACCGTCAGCCACCCGGCAACCCCGCCAATCATCAGACGAATCCACAGTTGAGTCAGACATCACTCGACTTAATGATGAAAATTGCCTTTACTGTTAATTGTTTTTTGGATTTTGTTTTTATTTAGTTTTTGTTTATTTGCAAAAAAGCCAGAGCTTAGTGTAGTGTAGCGGGAGCTAACTGTTCTGACTTGTTAAGCTCTTGATTTTCGTTTTAATTTTCATGAATGCATGTGAAAATTATTAACCAGAACGCAATGTCGCGTTATGTTTGTGTTTACTCATGCCCATTGCGAATTGCTGACGATGGAACATTGAACCGGAACTGGAGCTGGCACTGGCACTGGCACTGGAAAGGGAATGGTAATGGAAACGGATATGGGAACGTGAAGGCCAACTCGAAACGGAAGCCCTCATATAAACCAGTTGCGCGTTTTAAGTGTGACGAAACAAATTAAAACCATCTGAATATGCAAAAAATGTGTATTTTAATCAATGATGATTTTGCCTACTTAAAACAGTGTTTACTGATTTCGATAATCATTATTGAGAAAGGGAATTGCACACATATTTACATTTGTTAAAATAGTATAGCTCTTTTTGCCAAGAAGCCCATCTGAATATGGCATTTCTTTCGGCAAATAATACTAATGTGTTACATATTCAGTAGAATCTCCATATAAAACAAGTGAGAGGGGAGTTCCCGACTATAGGATTCCCTGAACCCTTTTCTACCCACACCAAATGCAGCTCGTGCTACGAGCTCGTTTGCTTTAGCAGTAATAAAAATATATCTCTTTCTCTCTAAGGAATCGAGCCTGTGACAGATCACACCATCGCAAACTCCTCTACTCGACAGCCATACCAACAATTTATTGCTACAAAAAAAGATATTTTCATATAAATACTACAAGGAGCTACTTATCAATTTTGGTGTCTCCAGCTTTTATAATTTACGAGATGTCATACGGCCATGAGGATATGTTTAGATCGACTCGGCTGTTAATCTATAATATATATACTTTATGTAGTCAGAGATGCAGCGAAGTTTTAAGTTTTGTCCGAACGGTTTCAGGCTCATTTTCAAAGATCTTTGTGAAAATCTAGCCGAGAAAGCTTTCAAAAGTGAGTGCTCAGCCAGTTTGTCATGTCATGTTTTTTGTTGAATAACACAATTGCTTATATTTTATTCGACTCTAATATAATTCAGTCTGCATACTAGAAAATAAATTTAAAACATATATAACATATAATACAAGGCAAAAATAATACTAAGCATTAGCTCAGCTTAATTTTACGGAACTTAATTAAAACTCTCCTTTAGAATTGGAGCTTGTGAAATAATATTGTGTGAACGGTTGGATGCATCCGACGATTTATTCAATTAACTCGGAACATTTCCATGTGTGAACACGGGGCTTTAAAATAGAGTATAAATTTGCAACAGGAATGAAAAGCAATGCTTAAAATAGAATAGAAAATTGTCGGTTAATACCCGCTAGCATAGCAGAAAAAGGCCATATGCCTGCTTCGCTTTATCTTGAACAATTATTCGCCGAAAGAATTTTTTCTATGAGTGTACTAGTTTCTAAAGAGCCCATTTATATTTCCATTTATCAGGATATGTACCCCACTTTGCCAACTTGTTGTTGCTTCATCAAAGCACGCAAATCACCCGCATTAGATCCACACGCCTAAAAATTCAATTAATTTGGGGCTTATCAGAAAATGCAATCATAGCAGCTATGAACTCATCCATATGGCCATATAGTAGGGTCCAGGCGACGTTACCCTCTTTAGCGCATGCCTGTGATGTATCTCTCATGTATTTAGTAAACATAGTTAAAGATCGTTATCCAATTAGTCAAAAGCTCATGTAATAAATTGCCCGAATTAAGGTGCGGAATTTTAATTACATAATTTACGCGTGCGCTCTATAACTGCCGGGGGAGGATACCAGGGTGCGGGGATCCGACTATGGGTGTATTAGAGCCAAGGAAATGTGGGCAAGGAATGTAAAAAATAAACAAAGTAGAACACTTAACTGCCGAGCGATGAAGTTTTAATACCCTTTTAATCTAATTTTTGTATATCTCCAATGTCGTCTATAGTTATGTGACCTTAGCCAGAATCTGTTGAGCATAGGATAGCGATGTTGACCAGTACCTGTCGGCATTTTAAAGATTCATTTGAAGGAAAAATAATAGATATGGAGCTCCCATATAATAAAGAAGCATTAAATAGGAATATTTTTATTTTTAGTTTGATCCGGTTGAATGCAATGACTGGAATTCTTAAGTAAAAAGAGATCAATGTATTTATCACATGTATTTACTTGCCATAAGTCGTTTTGATTGGTTCTATTTCAACGCCACATACCGAGCTAAAAAATTCAAATGCTACCAAGAAAGGATATATGGAAAAACAAACAAGCGTTGGAAAAAAACAAACAGAAAAATCAACGGCCAGAACGCAACGGCTAGAACGAAGTCAAAGTGCGTTTGATAGGTCATCTTAATAGAAAAGTACACGCAATTTGTGCGCAGCGAGTCATTAGAAAAAATGACAGTAATAACGATAATTATGAATTTTATCCGATTAACCTCGGCCCAAAAGGTGCGTGGGCCAAGTGACGGGGCATAAGTCAAAAAAATGCTGTAACGCTTCGGCTTGCTCCTTGCTGGGGACATACGAGCATACGAGTATTCAAAGTATTAAGTGCAATGCGTGCCATTGAACAATTAATTCTTATCTACTTAGCAAAGTCACGTGGGTTGGGGCTGGCGAAAAAGGGGAGGCAAGCTGAAGAGCGACTCTGATGCAACAGTCTGTCCTTTGACAGTCGTACTGGGCTGTCACTAAACATTTTCCAGTTCTATTTCCATTTTCATTACCATATTCAGTGTTCGAGTACAAGCTTATGTGACTTGCACCCAACTGCCAACTGGCACCTCCCACTCGTCCGGCGGGCATTTCTCACGTGTCATCGTGAGGACCGTCAACTGTGAGCTCCAATTGCGTGTCAAATGCGCTCAATTCCGTTATGACAATGCGACGTAATTAGAGGCCACGCATAGGCTCGCCTCATGATAATGATGATGATGATGGTGCGTCCAGTTCAGCGCCGTCCAGGCCATCCCAGCTAAGGCCGCTAAAATATGAGGCTAGCAACGGGCCCCTAGACCAAGCTGGGTGTGTACCGCACTTGATAAATATTATTGTAAATGGGCCCGAGATGACTGTCGTTCGCTTTTACAGTTAACTGACGACAAAATGGCCACATAATAGGCGTGTGTGTGTACGAGTGTATGCGACCGTGAATTTGCATATGACAAGTAACCAATGACTAATACAGACACACACATACACATATATTCAGTTACACACACTCACTCACTCACACAGGCATCGCTGAAGTACAGTTGCCTTCTTTTATAAAGCTCTATTCCACTTTATTGTTGATCTGACAAAATTGCCAACATCTTTGTGAGCAGAACCAGTTGAGAATTCTAAGTGCTATTCGCTTAAACTTCAAATGCAAATTCTGTGATAGATAAATGTTGTTTAATCAGAGTACAAATGAAGTTCATTAGTCATTGTCAACCATGCTGTTTAGTCTTCGATGGTAAAATTTAATTTTTTCCGATCTTTCTTTTCTTATATAACAATAAGTCTGATGCTCGTCGCCGCTTCCAACTTAAACCGATTAGACCCCATATCATGCCTAAAACACACGAGCTCGTGTTGCTCGTGCTCTTGGCATTTGAAGTTTATCTTGAACCGTTCGACCTTAAATTAGGCTACGGCACGATTTCATTAATTGATTTGGTAAGCGGCACTTGCCATGATTGCACTGAGTATATAATAGACTGGAGCTGATTTGCATTCTCAGTTAAGAGTTTATACCTCGAGCAAAACGTTTCACAATATGCAGTTCCCCCGCAGAAATACTTTGACTTTCTTCGCCATTGCCTTGGCTCTAGTTTGCATTCTGCAGATGGCACCAAGCGCAAGAGCCGTAAGTATGGAACTAGTTCAGTTCCAGAATCTGTCTGAAATATGACATTTCTTTTTGTCTACAGGACTGTCTCAAAGGAGAGCTGACGGAGAAGGCAAAGGGTATTTGCAGTCCCCTTTTAACTTTCCTCCCCTGTGGAATTATTGTTGATGTATGTATACGAACTGTATTTATCTAGGCTTGCGCTAATGTGGAGTTCGATTTACAGCATATCGTTGGTATATTTAACTCAGTGTGCGCTAACGCTAACGCTAACGTTAAGGATACATCAAGCTCAAGCACTACTACTACAACCACAGTTGCCCCCAAGGCTTAGGACAAGTATGTTGATGTTCACTTGATAAAAACAGATTCTTGACTATACGATATTCTTAACTATACAACTACTATATCATATTCGAATGGTTTGCCTTGCTCAAATAAAAATTCATAGCGCATGAAAACATTTCTGGTCAAAGTTTTTGAACTGGAAACTGGATTCTGGGAACTGGGAATCGGTCTGAAATCATTTTCTTATTGCACTTGCAGACGCAATTCCTGAACCGCAGGAGGCCAGACCAGAAAACCATTAGGGCAACTAATTAAAACCACTTTAGAAATGTTTTCTCAACTGTAAAGTTAGCTATAAACAACGACTCAAAGCAGGTGTGCGCGTATATGCGTGTGTGTTGTGTGTGTGTAGATTAAGAGACATATGAAACTTGAAACAAAATTAAAAAGCAAATAATATTCATGGCATTACAGCAAGGGCGACGGCGTAGTGCTAGAAAAAAATTCCAACATAATTCCAAATAATATCACAACACCTGCAGAAGCGTTTCAAGTGCACAGACGCACACACTCGCACACCTACACACGCACACATTCGCACGCCCCGTGTTATATGTGTAAAAGGGGGGTTTTTCTTGAAAAATCGCTGCACTGGAATTAATTAATTTGCCGCTGCCATTGCTGCCGTTTTAGTACCCAGCAAACATAAAACATAAAAAACCAGCAAAAATCAGGCCGCGAAATCAAAAAGATATGTGAATCGGGTTTGGTCAGGTGCTAGGCGACTCAAAGAGAGCGCTACAGATGTCCAGAGAAAAGCCGACATAAGAATTATTGAGTATATGAACTCAGTATCGCAGATTTCATTTTCATAGCACTCTCTCTGTATATAATATTCTTTTTAGATCTTGGCGAGGAATCACTAATAAATTCCATGGAATTCTATATATTTATAATTGAAACATGTGCATATCAATAGGAACAAGATGGAAATGAACAAACTTAGACTTTAAATATCGGAAAAGCAACGCAGCTGCGCATACGAAAAAGGAATTGTGCTTAAACTCATCAATTTTGGCATATATCAATAAAATATATGATAAGAACTCAATCCATTTAGGTGATCTACTCTGTTCTTATCTCATAATGAATACTATTTGTAGTATTCATTTGCAGGATTCATATTCCACGTGCGACGTATAGAATATTTGATTTTGATAAAAGTCTGAGTGCGTGCATGGCTGTGCACTTGCACCTCTGCATTTTCTCTCTCGCTACCTCTTTCTCTATATGTATCTCTCTCTCTCTCTCTCTTTTTCTATACTGTACACTCTACATCGCCCGTTCGCTCTCACGCTGGTCGTGTTGTAGTGGCACTTGCTGCTCATTTTATGCCTCGATTGGCAGCAAAGTGCAGACGCTTTTTGCTGGCGCAGCTGCTGCTGCCGTATTAGCAAAAAAAAAACAAAATGCAAAAATAAAAAGCGCATTGCAACGTTAAGTATACGGAATGACAGACAGTGAAATGTTAAAACAATTTCATACACAAGCAATCCAGCCGAACTGCACAAAGTAAGCCCCATGCAAAGGCTCATTTCAAACGTTTTCCTAATTTGTTGCATACCCGCAGGCTGGTCAGCCAAATGCCGTGTTTAGGGTGACCACACGGCGTTGACAACAAATGTAAATTGATCAACTGGGAAAATGGGATCAATCGATTAACAAATACTCTATAGCTGGCTATGTTATTAAAAATGTAAGAAACGAAACTGGATTTGGCATTTGGGATCATACAGATCATACACAAAATTTGCAGATTAGCTTGATGATCATAAAAAGCATCTGCTTCTGTTCCGATGCATATGCTTACCTAAATTAATATTTTAATTATTGTTATTATTCTCCTTTTTATTATTTCCATATTATATTAGTTCGATTCTTAAGCAAGGTGTTAAAATTGTTCTTCCGCTCCCATCTCTAAAGATTAACCCAAAATAATTTTGCTCACGTCCATTGGGGGTCGGAAAAAGTGCGAAAATCTATATGCGTCCCTCAGATTGAGATCTAGATTCTCCGAATTTGAGGGTTAGGCTACTCATGATCTCCTCTGAAGATCAAGCCAAATGTATTGTTCTTTGAAAGTCAAAGCCTTCGGGTACTGTAACCAACGATGTAGATAAGAAGAGTGTTGCCGATTTAATTGCTAACTATACTGACAACGTTAAAGCCCAAAAATATTTGCCACTTACATAAATATTTGTATTCCGCATTTTAAGTATCTCAGTTTTTGTTACAGCTCATTTGCTGTTTATAGAAGCATTTGGGAGCGTTTAGTGCATTTAATTGAGCAGAACATGCCCATCAGTAGCTGCGATTGCAGCTCGATCTATAAAAGCCTAGCACTGTTAGATGGGTAGATCTATCTACCAACCCGATGGCTTCAACTTGGATCTGCTTTGGGCTCGCGTTGCTTCTGTGCCTGTGCATTTGCGCCTGGGCAGCGCCACCCGCGGATGATTCGCGCCAGTTTGATGAGCTGGAGCGCACACTCAAGGAACTGGCTACCTCGCTGCTGGCTATAAATGGGAATGTTGCTAGCGGTGGGACTTTTCCCACAGGTGAGTCCCCTTATGCGGCACTGCTCTGTTCATGCCTTAAATGCTGTGTTGATTTCTTTGCAGCGGAGGGCAGCTCAGGGGATATGGAGGCGAATTTATTGGGCAGCGAGGCTGCGACTGCTTTGGAGTATCTGAACGAGCTTCCTCTATGAAACACGAGGTAATTGGATTCAGTTCTCGGATTTGCTAAGCTACGTTTAGCAATTCTGCAGTGTCTAAGATTAAAAAACAAGATTTAGAGCCTCATGAATATGTTCTTTTTTTTTTTTTAATAAATAAAATATCTTTCTTTTAATGAAATTGATTTAGATTGAACTGATTCCATTACTGATTCTAAAATAACCTTAATAGTCTACAATAAACTTTATTTTAAAATAGCTAGTTTTTATGGTAAGACGGTAAATTTCCCATCAGGCAGCTATGGCATCGTTTAACAAAGTAATCAGTAAACCTAAACGACGCACTTGTGTATGTGTAAAAGACTTATAAATGGCAGCGAAATTTTTAGTGTAAAATAGGTAAATAAAATACAAAGACAGATATAAAGCCGATCAAACAGCGTCTATGAATCCGACCTAGTCCCAAAGAAATAATTAAATTATTTGATTGATTTAATGATATATTAAAATAAAAAACACATATTTTCAAATTGAAGACTTTAACATAGGTATGTACATTTCTATATGTTGTCTTCCGTCTCCTCCTAAACTTCTTGCCGTGCTTAAACTTAGCTCAGTCTGCCAAGGAATACATGTGAGAGCATTGTAATTGTCCAAGCAAACAAATTTAAATAAATTTTCCAACTTATATACTTGTTAACTAAGCAATCTTATAATTTACATGTGATGTTTTTAATGTTTTGCATACAAACATTGACCCCAATTGAAAATTGCATTTATTAATTATTTCAGCCTTGTAGTTCTTTCGGCTTGAGCTGTGCGTTGCTTTCCTTTCAGTGATTCAGTCAGGACAATCTCTTATATATGTAATTAGATAAAATCAAAGTATATTTAGCCAAGATCTGTCTAACCAGTTCAATATATGGACTTCTAAGATATGCGAATATTCTTTTTTAAGCCGCAGTTAATCTAAAAATATTCGCAAAATTTCAACAAATTAATTAAAATCCTCACAACGAAATATGCATATATATGAACACATATTGTATGTATATATGCTCTGGCAAATTACGCATTCTAAATCTGGCACGATTTGTGTGGCGTACTCATCGCTCTGCCTCTCTCTATCGCACAGCCCGTTGCCATCTCTCTTGCACGTCGGCCTACATAGGCAGAGCTCGCGCCAGTTACTGAGCTCAATTTGCGCGCTAAATCTAATCAAGTTAATTTACGCCACCGATTTCTACACATTTGGCACCCCAAATCACTCGAGAGAGGCCCAGCCAAAGACAAAGTCTGGGTATGGATTACGTTGGTGCTGATCTGCGGGTCCGCTCGAGACTTTCAATTCACGCCGAGTTCCCCAATTGGAGGCCCAAGACAATGGGCAGGTGAATGCTACGTTTAAATAGACGAACTTGTCGCCTCTGATTGCCAAGCAAAAATTAAAAATAATAAACAGCTCTGCGAGAGTTTATCAAGTATATTGCTGAGCTAGCGATACCCTGTAATATGAGAAAATATATTTCTATCAATCATAATATGACTAAAGAAACAAATATGCACAATTTTAATTGAGCAATTAAAGTATTATAATGAGAAGGATGAACGTACAAACTTCATAATGGTCACATTTTATTTATTCTATAACACTCATGCCCATTTTATGTGTACAGGGTATATAGAAAAAAAAAGAAGAAAGATGGAATGCCATAATATCATTAATAATAATAGTTGAAACAACAACGGCTCGCAGCTCGCATCCGAAGTCCGAGAATGTTAAAACAAATCTAAATCAGAAGCTGAATCAAAAAATTTAACAGCCCGTCTGTCGGTCAGTTGGGGCTGCTCGCCCGCTCGCTCAGCTGTAGAAGCGGACCCGGAGACAACTAAGAGCTATCCAACTATTCGCTGGATGTGCCATGTGTATCTGTCAGTTACTTTTGATGCGTGCAGCTGTGCGGTAGCTTAATTTTTTTTTTTTTTCTTTCGGTGACCCGCGACTTGTAAGTGCAGTGTGAAAAGCTGTTTGGGCGATCCATCGATAAGCCGCCTCCTTTCTTTTTGTTGTTGTGCCCTAAGATTTTGCGTCATGCATGTGGACGAGCTGCGTACCAGCCTGCAGAGCTTTGGCTGGCCCGACTATGTGGTCTTTTGTCTCATGCTGGCCATCTGCGCCGTCATCGGTATCTATTTCTGCCTGCAGCTGCGTCGCGAGTCGAAGGAGGTGAAGGCTTGCGGTGGCGAGGAGGCGGCCAATAGTGCCGCCTCCTATTTAGTCGGCGGCAGAAAAATGAAAATCTTTCCCATTACCATGTCGCTTATCTCTAGGTGAGTATGAGATTTACTCATTATGAATGCTTTAGCACAACAATTGGAGGGCTCAAATCCCAGAGCTAAATCAAATAGGCAGAACTACTTTAAAGTCAGTTCCACAGTTTATTAATATTGTAATAGTGCCTATCGATAGCCCGGCTTTGCCAGGATCAACGTTTCTTTAAGTTTTCTGCTCCTTATTTTATAATACTTAATGAAGTAGAGTTTTGAAAATACGCTTAAAGCGAATGAGACCTAACTTGCACTTTCGCCTAAGTAAAGATCTTTGAAATTGAATTCGAAGTTAGTCGGATGGTAAATAAATGGCACATCATATTACACTGTTCTTTCGGTATTCCTAATATTTATTAGTTTAATATTGGGGCGGAGCAAGAGTTTTTAATGGGCTATCAGAATATATTTTAAAACATATTGGAATTAGGCGGGAAGACTAAGTTTAAGCAATAGTTTGCCCTTAGCCTTTGGCATGAATACTCTCAATATTTGTCCTAAGCTCAGAATTACAATAAACAATAATGCATATTTTTCAGTGCCCGGGGTACCATAGTGTTTAATTCGAACTGAGAGACTGCTCCACTTACAGCTAGTTACAGCTGCTCGTTAAGTATTTGTTGGGCTAGTATGCAGCACAGAGCTGTGAGCGGTGCCTATCAGCACACCAAATCAAATAGTTTCATATTTTCGAAATGGGTTCGTAAAAGCAACGAGAATACGGAAAGAAACCCGTATACGGGGAATTCAAATTGCGACTACGTCGCATAATCAACGCCCCTGGCGACGAGAATCTCTCTTAATTAAATTGCATAAAACGCTCTTTGATCTCCGAAGAGTTTTTCACGCTGACAACGGAAGCAAATCCGACTGAAGGTCAAGTGGCACTAATGTCTATAGGGGTCTTCAAAGCTTATTTTAGTTAATTATTATAGTATTATTATTGCTTATTTACAGCAGTTTCCTCTTCTATTCTTCACAGCTTCATATCGGGCATCACGCTGCTGGGCACACCCACCGAGGTTTACCTTTACGGTGCTCAGTATCTGTACATTATGGGCTCCCTAGTGCTAATGGGCCTGTGCATGTATTATATATTCTTACCAGTATTTCATGACCTCAACTTGATATCCACCTACAAGGTATGTGCTCAGCTGTCGATTTAAAGTTCCCAATGCAACTCAACAGTCCTTATTTAAATCCCAAAAAACTTAGTATCTGGAACAACGCTACAATCGCAGTCTGCGCCTATTTGGTTCGATCATGTTTATTATGGCTTCGGTAAGTGTTAAGAAATCAATTCATAAGACTAAAAAACTGAATTGTGAGAAAAGTAACCTTAAACTTAAATAAAAATGTAAAAATATGCCCACCATTGTAATATAATATTAGCCACAGCCAAAACTTGTTCATGCCCCGAAAGGTCTTGAGAAAGAAACCAGTATTAAATGGAAATTCTTTTGTAACTAATATATCCTCAATTTTGCAGCTATTGTGGCTGCCGATTGTGATCTATGTGCCGGCCATAGCCTTCAATCAGGCAACGGGCGTGAACATACACATTGTGACGCCGTGTGTGTGCGTGGTGTGCATCTTCTATACGTGCATTGGCGGCCTCAAGGCAGTCGTCTGGACGGACGTCGTCCAGACGCTGATCATGTTCGGCGCCATGGCACTGGTGCTGATCAAGGGCACGATAGATGTGGGCGGGCCGGGCGTTGTTTGGCAGCGTGCCCAAAAGACGGCACGCATTGAGCCGCCCAACTTCACATTGGATCTCAGCGAGCGCTACACCTTCTACTCTCTGGTGCTGGGGGGCGTGGCGCACTGGCTCAAGTCGAATGCGATCAGCCAGAATATGATCCAGCGGTATCTGTCGCTGCCAACGTTGCGGCACGCTCGGATCGCCATCTGGACTTTTATAGCCGGCGTGCTGGCGTTTCTGGCCATCTGCGGGTATACGGGCCTGCTCATCTATGCGACCTACGCGGACTGCGATCCGCTGGAGACGAAGCTGGCCCAGCGCAATGACCAGCTGTTGCCGCTGTTGGTCATGGAAACACTCGGACAGTATCCCGGTCTGCCGGGCGTGTTTGTCGCTGGCGTTTTCAGTGCGGCTCTCTCCTCGCTCTCCACCGGCCTTAATTCGCTTTCTGCCGTCGTGCTGGAGGACTTTGTCAAGACCTTTCGCCACCAGCCACTGAGCGAGACGCAAACTGCTTATATTATGCGCAGCGTTGTTGTTGTCTTTGGCGTTATCTTTGTCGGTCTGGTCTTTATCGTGGAGAAGCTGGGCGCTGTGCTCCAGCTGACCATCACGCTCACCTCAGTGGCCAACGGACCCCTGTTGGGCATCTTCACGTCCGGTGTCATGCTGCCCTGGGTTAACTCGAAGGGCGCGCTCCTCGGTGGCCTCAGCTCACTGGGTGTCATGGCCTGGATGTGCATTAGCGCACAGCGTGACCTGGTCACGGGGGATCTGGTCTATCAGCGGAAACCCTACTCCACGATGGGATGCAATTACACCTTCATGGGTGAGCGACGCGCCTTCAGCAGCCTGCCACTAGATGACGCCATCAGGTGAGTCGCATTTCTAACTAAATTCCCGAATGAGACTAGCTTAAACATGAAATACCTAATCTATCATATATAATAAGAAGCTCGTGCAAGTTTCAGCTAATGTTAAATCTAATGACTAGTTTTTGTATCAAATTTTGTACAGCCCCGCATCGGATGTGCCTTTTCAGCTGTACCGCATCTCATACCTGTACTTCACCCTCTTCGGGGCATTGATGACCATTGTGGTGGGGCTGGTGACGAGCCTTCTGCTGCGCGAATCCGATCTAGATGCGGTGGACACCCGCCTGCTGACGCCCTTTGTGCGGCGTTGGCTGGAGCGACGTCGCAGTCGCCGCACGCAGCTGCCGGCGGGAAAGGTGGACAAGCATAAGGCGGTGCAGGAGACGACAACGTAAGCGGAGGGGGTTCGGCCAGTGGGTCGTAGTACCTGCTGCCGGCCAAAATGTTCCTTTGGTAGCTTAGTAAATATTTAAAATTAAATAAAATACAATTCATAATTATTTGGTCTTTGTGCCACCCGCCTGCCGTCTGTCCACTGCCGCTTGCTGCAAATGGGTTCAAAGCAGCTGCTTTCTGTGTAATTAGAAAAATGCCCGCAGTGATGGAACTAGAACTGGAACTGGAACTGGATCCGGGCCTGAGCTGACCCTGAACCTGAACCTTTGCCAAATCAAAGCAAACTACTAAGCAAATAAACAAAAAAAGGGGAGGTGAATAATAAAAAAAAGAAAAATACAACTTAAATTGTGCCTCGCAACCCACATAAGCGTTCAAACGGGATGTGGCTTTTGGGGTGTAAAGGGTTCGTCCTGAGTTTTACTTCTGCTGTTAATTGAATATTTACTGTTTTTCATGTGCCCAAGTGTATGTGTGCGTGAGTGTGTGTGCATGAGTGTGTGGCAAGACTAACTCAACTAACTACTTATTAGTAGTCATTGCCACCCGCTGCCCTTCTGCTGCTCAAGTCTTTGTCTCTGCTCGTCCATTTATTTGTATGTTTAGGTCGTTTATGCAGCAAATTGAATTGTTAATGAGCTAACAAATGTTTGCGAAATTAGTTTTCAGACACAACTTCAAACCCCAAAGATCCATTATACAAACTGCAGTAGAGTATCCAACAGAGCCGTCTGGAATTTGCGCGTAAGATCATTTGTGTGTTATAAATAAGAATGTTGCAGTCGGGTGCACTCGAATGGTTGATACTCATCGATTTGAGGGGGTCAGGAGGCTTAACCGAAGATCGTTTAAGGACGTTAGAGATGCAGTTACATCCCAATAAGCCGACTTTGACCCCGATGTCTTGTCAATAAATAAATAAACCAAGAAAAATGAAGTCATGAATTTGTATATCATCTAAAATGAAGAACGAGCTATAACTAATTCAAAAATGCAAGAAATTTACGCCTGTGGGAGATACAGATTTTCGAAACTCAATAACTCTGACGGATATAGAAGTTATATACAATGACTCAAATTTCAAGTCTCCTCTACACGGACGGATGGACGGACAGCACAAAACCAATAAACTCTTTTACCTTTTGTGAAAGTGTATAGAAATTGAGAAAAAGGAACCTCGCGTATCCTTGACGCATCCGCTACACTAATATGCTGTATAGAATTTCCATCGCTAGCTGGCTGGCTCTTAATTAGCCGCTACAAAAATAGGTTCGCACAAAAGACAGCGGCGAAATGTCATCAGAATGCATAATGACAACGGTTCGTTATGGACACCATGGGCAGGGGCACCAGGGAGTTGTGGCCGAGTGGAAAAGGGGAGGGGGAGGGGGTAAATGTTACCTGGGTACTGGTGCTGGTGCTGGCCTGCGGCCAAAGGAAAACCCAGCTGCAAATTTCGCAAACAGACACATGGCACATGTGCGCCACCTTGCAGCGCATTCAAAGCTGCTCGCATGCATGGCCAGATCCAGTGCCAGCGCCAGAGCCAGAGCCAGTGACAGCGGCAGAGGCAGAGGCAGTGACAGTTGTCATATGGGTGGATTGTTTTTTGGCCACGACGGAAACGGAAGTTGCCCCGCTAGCTGGCACCAATAACAACAACAGCAACAACAACAGGTATAAACGCTGCTCAGTTAACTTGTTTATGTCGCTGTTTGCTTTTGTCTTACTTTTTATGTTGGCATATAATTTGTTTTGCACGGCTCTTTTGCCGCCCAATCAAGGCATATCAGCTGCATGCAGCGTTTTGCAACACTGCTACATGAGCTATGGGCCTAAGCATACATGGTTTTAAGCTGCATCAGGTTAAGCAATACTTAGATCAATTGATCTACAACTAATTTTTAAATTAGAAATTTTTATTTTTCACTCAAGTTATTACTTTTTTTAGGCATTCATAGATGTTAATCTCTGATTACAATTTCAAATAAATTTTCCTTGCCATTAAGAAATTAGAATCAATAATCGCTCTCTTTGCAGTTAATTCGTTCATTCGAATGTTTAAAAGTCTCTACAATTCTGACGTCCTTTATCTACACCGCAATGTGGCCTTAATTTATTAAATATGACACAATATAAATGCGTTTGTAAAATTTTTCTTATTCTACTCGTTTATTATTGTTGTTGTTCTCGTTAGCAGATTATTCGATTTATAAATTATCGATTTTATTTATATGTTTGAAAACAGGCAGCGGAAAACAGCGTTCCATGATGTATTTTGTATTTATACTCGCTGATTATTTAATTCGCTCTCGTTAGCAACTAACTCGTTACTTCGCTGGACAGGCTTATTTAGACACCAGACATCGGAAAAATAGTTTTTCTTTTTTAATTGGGAATAGCTCTAGTACTAGAGCATGATGTATTTTCTTATTATACTCGCTGATTATTGTATCCGTTCTCGTTTGTGGTTTACTCGTTACTTCGCTTGTCAGCTTTATTTACATATGAAGACAATTGACAAAAAAACAGTTGGGTTCGGCTATATCTTAAAAACATTTATTTTTCCACATGCTCGTTGGAGTTGGTTCGTTACTTTGTACGTTGTTGCTCTGCTATCTAGCGACCCGCTTTATGGCGGCGCATTAGAAGAGCAACACATTTCAACTTCAAACAAACTATAGCTGTTGACTAGGCTACCCTCGCGGCTATTAATGCCAGTGACAATTTGCAGCAGGTCTACAAGTAGCCCAGCTCACATCGCGCCGCCCCCAGTTTCCACTTCTACTGATCCTGACCCGACCCGACCCTTGCTATGTTACCAGAAAAGGTGGCTGGAAGAGTTGGGGGCGGCCGCTGCTGCGGCACAAAAGTCATTTTTGATTGTTTTCATGAAAATGAACATAGAAAAATTATAATTAAAATTCATATGGAAATTGTCGAAAAAAGCAAATTCTGCTCTGCTCGGGCTCAGCTCTGTCTGAACAATGGAACGTTGGCCTTGTTGTCGTTGTTGTTGTTCTTGTTGCTGGCGCAACTGCAGGCCAAAAAAGATTTCATCTGAAAAACCTAAAGACCAAAGAAATGCAACCGGGGGGCAATGGATATTTTTACTGGAGTGGGGGCGAAAGGGTGGCAGAACTGGGAGCCAAGTCGGTTGAGCTGCGGGCGTATTGTTTGTGGAACATGTGTTAAGCACATACACACAGACACACACACACACACACACACTCGCACATAGACTACATAAAACGACAACAATGTCAGGTCTAACAATATTAGGAGAACGGCCTCTACCTGAACCAGCAACACGGCCCCATTCTCTTAAGCCGCTGCCCCTCGCCAGCCCTCAGTGGAGTATGCAAAATGGTCAGGGAAACGCATGCCGGCTGCTCATTTTCTTGTTGTCGTTTCATTTTGGCACTTTTCCTACACTTTTATGCGATAAAATATTTAATTATATTTGGCAGCTTGTTTGTGCATTGTGCGGTCCGCCTTTGCCTTTGCATTTGCCATCCAATTAACATCGCCCTGGGGAACTGGCCATAGCTGCAGCGGGTGTAGCAGCAGGAGGGCGCGTGAAGCAGGAACAGCTCAAGTCGGTAGCTCTGGATGTGACTCGGCTGCAGATTGGACTTGAAGCGGCTGCTGAAGAGTATGCAATGATCTTCTTCCAGCGACGCCAATGCAGAAGTACCAGCTCATTTGAAAGCAACAAACAAGTGGAATCGGAAACCAAATAAGAATCACGGCTGCAAGCCGGAAAAAACAAATTTGATGACTTTATCTGAAAAACCTTATCTAAAAAATCAATTTTATCGATTTCGGAGAAACGGCGTGAGCTATCGGTGATTCGACAAAAACTTAATGTGATCAAAACTATTATACTCTATGCGGAATATCTGTTCATATATCTAACAGGTCGATGAAATGTATCTGAACCTAAGCAAACTATCAGTTCTGGTATATTGTTGCCTCACGGGATTTTGATTGAGTTCAGAGCGCTCGCTTAAAAGTATGCTGCGATCTTTTTAGGCACTTTATTTCAAATATGAGCAATAAACAATTGACTGTCAATTTTAGCCAGGGGCCACCGTGGCTCTGGTTGTAGCCGGTGTAGTAGTTGTTGTTGTTGTTGCTGTTGTTGTTGTTGTGGTTGGCGCTTGCTTAACGATCGTCACACGTATACAGCCGGCGTGATCCACATGATATCCAACTGGCGCTCCATACAACTGCCCCAGGCTGCCCATCAGCCAGAGGCAGCAGAGCAGAAGCCCAATGATATGCAAAAAGCCGCGCATCGAATATGAAAGCCGAACTGAGGCGCTGAGCAGCTAAACCACTCAACCACCCGACTTGACGAGAAAATTTAACTGCCGGCAATAGTTCGCAGTCATCGCTGATTTATAGTTGTCTTCGGCCTAGAAGCGGACAATGATAGTAATTATAAGCTTAACACTTCGTATTTTATAAATTAGTTGTCATCGTGTTCTTTTTTTCTGCTTAGTTTGATTTCATTCAGTTCTAACTAGAGACAGGCACGCCTGGCCCACACGGCCCAACACTAACACGAAATTTATAAGCACGCGCATCGAGGGCCCAGCCCAGCACAGCACGACCGAAAATATGTGGGAATCTGCTTTCAGATTTTGCATCGGAATAATTTCGAAAGTGGAAAGTTTCACCGCTCGAATCACGCACGAATTGCAATTTTACGGCATGGCCCGTGCCCACCTCTGCTTGAAACGTAGATTTTCAGATAAATAAAAAGTTTTTATAGTTTCTGGGTATATTTTAAATGCATTTGTGATTGCATTGGCTTCGTGCTCACCGAAAATAATTTCACAGTAACTAATGGATATTAAAATTATTTGAAAACATTTGATATATACATAAGATATGGGATGGTTTTTTGTTTTATCCGTATGACACCTATTACTAATATAATTGCCCGTCCTTTGTTTATGCTCATACAAGCATCTGGGTTTTTTGGTTCCGGCTTTATAAAGATTGCTGATCACAGCATTTATTATAAACAGCCACAAAGACAATCGAGCTGTCGCCCATGATGTCATTTTGGGTAAATTCCCCACCCACGCAAGCGGTTAACCTTGAGATTCATCGTCATGACTATTTCAATTGTAAAAACAACATTTAAGAGCCTTCAATTAGAACAATCTAAGCATTTGACTGGTCTTTTTAATGGTTTAAGATTCGCATCACATCTGCGTCAAACTCAATTTAATAGTATTACCACGAAACTCTCTTACATTTTACATTCGTAAACTTTTTACATTCATAAAAATAACAAAGCCTCTTCAGTGGAACTGATGAGTAATACATAAGAGCTTTAAATAAAAACATTTAAACATAAGCATATTATGATGCTTCAATTGAACAGTATGCTTATAAGTCTTAGCTCCATAAGAGAGTTTTGTATTTTGAACTTTAATTTGAAACAATTGAAGTAGTTGGGCAGGATTAACTTACGATCAGGGTGAACGAGGCGTATGTGATTCTTTTTTTGACCAGCATCAACTGCCCATTCGCACCAACTATATCTGTTTGTCAGAAAGGAGAACACAGCTGGAATTGGCAAAGAAAACGCTAGACATTTCTGCTAGAACAGAGCATTTACAAGTCGTGATCACTCGAATAGCGTATTATTTATACGATTAAAAAGTTTTTAAACTTTCGTAATGGACAGGCTAATACCTTTTATAATAAATTCTTGTAATATTTGTATATTATATGAATTTTGAGAATTTGGAACCAAACGCACTTTGCTTTACTTTTTCATATTTGCTTTATTGGTGGGTGTCATTTATACAATACAGTGCAGAATTTATATAGAGTTCCAAAGATACGTAGGGCCAGGAGTGAGGTCCATGTGGTGTAGGTCCATGTCAGTTTCTGCCATTAGCCGGAGGAGGCGGCTGTGGTGGTGCGTGGCGGCGGCGGAGGTCCTCCACGTGGTGGCTGGCCCGACGGAGCGCCTGCCACGGCAGTTAGGCTGGCCACAGTCGACGAGCCATGATGCTGAGCACCCTGGAGAGGCGTTACTCTAGCTGCGGCCAGTTGCTGTGCGGGATTATGGCAACGATAAAGCCATTAGGATTAGTTGTGGAGAGAGTCGGTTGGACTTACCAGCAGCACGGCCAGGGTCAGGGCTAATAGCAGGCATAGACGCATGTTTGCTGATGCTGTTCGTTCTACCAGTTGTTGCAATCAGTGTCGAGGCTGGCGCTTATATGGCCCGCGGCTTGCCAACAAACCTGCGACTGCCCCGCCCCCCTCGGCCGACGCAGCTTATGTAATTGCAGCAAAAGTGTAATTATAGGGGCATATTAAAACCAAATTGAGCTGTTCAAATGCTGTTGATCTTTTTTTTTTATTTTTATTTTTTGTATGTAAAACTAATTCAGTCGCGACATTGTTTATTCACGCTTTTTCGTCGTGTGCCACCCACAATTATCATGTGCAGTGATGCCATCGCTTTGATGAAATGATTTTTGTTCCGTGGCTGGGTCTAGTGCAGGTTCAAGGCATAGACCTCCATTGGGCATCACTTAGGGTATTCGCAAACATTTGACTTGTCCAGGCACCACAGCTTCCGCAATACATTATTCGTTTCCTTGTTGCGATCTGTAAAAACCATATGCTAAGGATATTTTGGAAAAGAAATAGCACAAATAGGGACAACATACAGCGCAAATAGAGTCCAGAATCAGTCGGAATCGAGCAGGGATTAAAGTGCGGACCCTCGTTCTTATGTTGGCGCTTTTGTAGACTACTGCCTGCCAAGATGTTCAGGCTTGGCTGCGTTACAGGCTGCGGCAGAGGATTGCTTAGTTCTTCGTGTGGCGGGCCCCCGGAGAATATCTCTTCCATTGGCCCGACCCGAAAGGGCGGCGTCCAGTCATCGTACGGATGGTTGCAACGCCAGCGCTCCTCAAAGTTCTTCAAATCCATGATACGGAAAATTTAGAAGTTTGTAATGCGGCAAGAATGTTCGCGACTCTTTACTATTAATTTTGGGTTGTAAGACGGCTACAGGTTTGGCAAATTTATAAGAATCTGTTCTGCGTTCCTTACAGAACAATTAAAGTATAATAATTGACAGAAACTAGAAACGGTTGCTTTGCCTTGCACGACGAGTAGGCTGTCAGAACATATATGTAAGTCAAGTGAGGACTTTCACATCACATAAGAAAGACGCAGACGTATGCATATTGTTAAGTATCGATTGACTAATACCTATGCATAAGTAAGTGCCATAAAAGCCCCCCTCAACCTTTAGCGATGTCTGCCCATCAATAATGATCTTTGTAATATGTAATGCCAAACTAATGAAATCTATCCACTGCCACAGTAGCTCAATTGCCAGTGGTTTTATATGCTTGAGCCGCCCGAACTGCTCGCTCTTGTCAGCCATTTGATCTACTGCGACTGCTGATGATGATGTCGGCCGAGTTCGGGGGGAATAAATATAAACGTGTCAAGCATCTTTTATTGCGATTTCTTTATATGCGTGCGCTGGCAACATACAATACACTTAACCAAATTTGTGAACAGAATATCGAAGTTTATGGAAAATATATTTTTGTCACGGAGGTTGGTTCTCACTCACAATTCTAGAAATCTCAAAATATCAATATAATTTAAAATAAATATAATTTTTTATATTTGTTTCATCAGCTTAAGTAATTTTATTTTAGTATATTATTTTTCACAATTATTATTTTATTTAAACAACAGTTTTGCACCAAATCAAATATGGTTTGCCTCAAGCTTAGATTCATAACTTGGTGGGTAGATAAGCTGGTTTTCATTTTTGTTCATACAATATAAGAGTTTCGGGTTCAAACCAGCTCAGTTCAAAATTCTTACTATTTTTTTAATGATAAGAAACATTTGTCATGAGACTAAATTTTTATACAGTTTATATCTTATCCTTTAGAGTATATGGTTTACTTTATCCTCGGTATTCAATTGCCGAGAGCTGTACGGATTATATTTTGTTTAATGCATCTGTTTTTTTCAGTGTTTGATTTGATTGTGTGGTAGTTGGGCAAGTGTCATGTAACAGAACTTTGACAGATTTGAGAAAAGCGCACCGAGAGCGAGAGAGAGAGAGAGACAGGGGAAGCGCGACACATCGAAAGAAAAGTCGTAAACTACAACCAAAAATGACGATGATGGAGGGTGAAGCAATACCGAATCGTAAAAGGCGAAGGCTTTTGCCTTACCTTCTAAGAAATGGCCTTCGCCGCGTATGGGAGTGTGTGTAGTAGCATTTATTGGATTTTTATGATAAGCAACGACAGGTCGACGACAGTCAGTCAAAGCTTCTGCGTGGATTCTTTGATTCTGTGTTATGTTTTATGGCATTTGTTGTTGTGCTTGTTGGAAAGCACTTAGAGGGAAAATTGTAGCTCTTATCGCTAATAAGATGAGAACACACAAAAAAAAGATAGCTAATAAATAGGTAAGCAGGAAACGTGTGCAAAAAGTGGCTTGAAGCGTCCTCCTGCTGCCAGTAGCGAGCATCCTGCGCAGTGCTATCCTGTCAAAAGTCGCCACGCACAATGCAAATCAAACAAACAATAAATTCAGCGACAGACATTGTTGCATGTAATAGATACAGTTGCAGTTGCAGATGCAGTTGCAGTTGCAGTTGCAGTTGCCTGCCTCCCCCAACCTCTGGGCCAGCCCCTAAGTTGCCCCTCCTGTAGAAGACAATGGCGTATACCGGCAGTAAAACACATGCATATCCTTTATACATTAAGGATATCCTTGAGTAGATGCAATTTTCTAACCAATATAATTCATAAATTTATTTTCAATCCTTTCCGCACATAAATTTTCATATTATGCATACACACACACAGACACAGGTCCATTTTTCCTATAGGCCTATTGTCCTGTGAGTGTGTTCGTGTGTTTGTGTGTGTGTGAGTGTGTGTGTGTGCATTATTATTTGTCGTCGTGCTTGTCATTATTTATATGACCAGGCAAGAGATAAGTTGCTGCAACATTTTGCTACTAAGGCGCAAGGATGTGTTGCAGCTACACAGCTACAGCTCCTGCCCAATTACGCACACACACACTTACACACACACACACACATCGATATAACATTGTAGCAGGCATGTCCTTGGGCCTTGCAAGGTTTGTTGCCCCAACATTTTGATTTATAAATGCCTACGCCGACTCCTCCGACTCCTATGCCAACTATGATTCCGATTCCGACTTTGAGCCAGAGTCTGAGTCTGGAGCCCAAATGCTGAGTTTTGCGTCCTGCGTCCTCTCACTGGCGCCGGAAGCTGCAGCTGCTTTTGCTGACTGGCTTCAGCAAGCCACCCCCCCCCCCCCCCCCCCTCCCTTCTCACTTGGGCAGCCTGTTGTTAGGTAGCCCAAGTGGCCATTAATATATCAGTTCAATTCATATTTGAAATTTTGCATATTCTAACACGCCAGTGAGCAGCCGACTCCGACTCCGACTCATCCTTGCTCTCGTCCTGCCAGTTGCCAGTTAACAGTTCCCATTGCACACGCATACGATTATGATTTGTGTCTTACTTAATGCAGAGACAGATGGGGTCAAGAGGTTGTTGTTGCTGTTGCTGATGCTGCCGCTCGGACTTGGACTGTGGGACAGTGGGTCGGCCAGACAGTTGCTGCCCAGTCATCGTCTCAATCTGATTGATTTAGAATTCCAATTGAGACTGCATGAAATATGTTTGTCTCGTGTCTCCAACTGCTTTCTGGCCGCTGCTGCCTCAGTCTCCTTCCTCCCTTGGCCAATGTCTTCTGGCGTCTGTCGAGTTCAGGGCGCTGCTCCTGTGCCCGAATGCCATTTATGCATGGGCATATCCTTTTGCGAAATTAGCATTTTCCAACAATTGCAACAGGAATAACAACAGCAACAACAACGACTTATTGGTATTTCATTGATTTATGACACTTGTGAAACAATTTGGAAAATCACAGATTAGCAGGCCAGGCAAGCCAGGCAGGTGACTCGTGAACTGTACTAATTACACCCAACGCTTCATTGGTCCCTTCACAATACACTTCCACACATGCACACACCCTCCTCAATCTCTTGGTCTAGCACAATATGAAGTTTGTCATGTAAGTCGCAGGCAAAACCTCACATAGAGCGGGTAGAGAGTATTTGGGGTAAGTGGTCAATTTAATTACAAATCCTTTTTGGGCCATCCAAGTAAAACTCGACTAAATACAGGGCATCAGCTGAATTAAATATTTTACGGCAATTGCTTGTCATCAAGCTTGATACTCTATCAATGAATTAATATTCAATACAAGTACTTAAAGCTAAAGATAAAGATTATTGTGAAATTTTGAATCAAACAACTATCAATCAGCTAGCAATCTTCTGTATATACTCATTATCTGGTTTCTAGTTTAAATGACGCGCTTTGCTTTGTAATACAATTAATCAATCAATAAATCAAGCAATCAATCACTCAATCAATCAGCTTATCATCTAATAAGCTAGTCAATCAATCAATATATTTATTAATCAAGCATTCAATCGATCAGTTAATTGGAATTCACTTAATCAATCAATCAATCGATCACTCAATCAGTCAGCTTATCATCTAAGAAGTTACTCAATCAATCATCATATCATATAATCAAGCATACAATCGATCAGTCAATTGGAATTAACCTAAGTATCAGCGACTGTAATCGGAAGCTTTAATATTTCTTACCAGCTTTATACAGCCTCAATCAGTGAAGCGTTCATTTAATCAATCAAATAAGTAAGTAAGCAAGTGCCCTTAAAGAAATCTATCAAAGCTTTTCGTTAGGTGATAAATCGTTTAAAGAAGTGTTAAGCTTAAGTTTCCCACTTCTCATTAAGCAATCGAATGCAATTACAATTGCAAGTCCAGCAATCAATCAATCGATCACAATATATTTTATGAGCTAACATAAACTAGTTAACCGGGTTGCTTGCCTGAGAAATTATCTAAAATTAGCTGAACAATCGAACCATGCCGCCATGCCCCCTTCCTGGGCCCATTTAAGTGCTACGACTGAGATTTATATGTCAACCCCGAGTGCCCAGCTGTCCATATACACATACATATACGAATGCCCAACCCATTCTGAATCACATTCAGATTCAGATTCGCATTTGCATCCTTTTGCCGGCTTCCGCTGGCTGTTGAACTAACGTGCAGTGATTAGGCTATGGGGCAACAAACGATTTGTTGCATGTTGTTGCAATTGATTGTTGCAATTTCAATTTTGAATTATGAGCCCTGGCCCTGACCCGGGTTCAAGCTCAGGCCCAGGCCAAGGCGAGGCAAGGCAAGGAAAGGCCAGGCAACTGCATCCTTTGCCATTGCATCCGGTCGCTGCCCGCTTCCGCCTGGGTGTGACTCACACTGTGTGTGTGTGTGTGCATGTGTGTGTTGCTGTGTGTTTATGTCGTTTGCATGTTAATCCCCCGTCTCAGTCGCAGTTGCCCTCTCCCTGCCACTCCTTGTTGCAAGTGTGTGCAATGTGTTGCAAGTTGCATTGGCAGCGTCATTCAAGTGTTTAGTGATTTATTGAATGCCGTTAGAGCTGTTGCAACCACCCCCCAATCACCCTCCCTTCGCCCAGAGCCTCGTGGAGATTAGCACAATGGCTTTGAGCACTTTTGACAGCTAAGATTTGTTTATGCGCCGCCGGCCCCAGGGTCTTATCTTGGGGCGAGTCTGGCTCGGCTCCCGACTGCATCTGAAACGGGCTTTGGGCGGGTGTCGGAGACGGAGTCGGAGCCGGAGCCGCAGTCGTTGTCTGGGCTCTGATTCATGTCTTTGCATATTGGTAACAAATTTGTGGTAATTGATTTGAAATTGATTAATTAAGTTTGCGCCACAGACGCTGCACAACTTTGTTTGCCAGTGGCTTTAACCGACTGCCATAAGCGAGCTTCACTTCTCACTCTGAGCAGCCATTGCGATTGTTGTTGCAGCTGGCATGCCAAGGTGCAACCGCAAATGGCGGCCTTGCCAGCCGACAACAGCCAGCAGCAGCAATCCTTCAATCCTTCACCCAGCTCACCTCTGCGCCACTTGCATCTGCTCC